CAGAGTCTGGATCACTGTGGACCCTACGAGTCTGAACCAAGCAGCTGGGCTTAACTCCAGGTGTGCACCCAGATGTACCCAGAACAACATCTCTGTGCTCTGCTGTGGTTGATGCTGTGAGTGCTGCCCTGAGATCAGGTGTCCCGAACTCATAGCAAAGCAGAACAGGCTGTGTTGGACACTGGTGCTCCCATTTTTATATACCTGTCTCTGAAGCTTTTGAGACTTACTATTCCAATGGTGTCTTTGTTTTTAAGGGCAACAGTGTGTTTTTTGTTTGTTTAATTTCTGAATTACCTTGGCTGTCAGCCCCTTAGACCTGTAGGGCTTAGACATCACATAGCTGGGTTTGCGTTCTTGCCACACCCACACAATACCAGTAAATTATTTAGTATTCCTTTTATAAAAGATTTTTTTTTTTTGTGGTTGTTTTTCGAGACAGTGTTTCCCTGTGTAGCTTTGAGCCTTTCCTGGAACTCGCTTTGTAGACCAGGCTGGCCTCAAACTCACAGAGATCCGCCTGCCTCTGCCTCTGAGTGCTGGGATTAAAGGTGTGCGCCACCACCGCCAGGCTTTTTTTTTTGTTTAGATTTATTTATTATTATGTGTATGGTGTTCTGCCTGTATGTATCCCTGCAGGCCAGAAGAGGGCACCAGATCTCATGATAGATGGTTGGGAGTCACTATGTGGTTGCTGGGAATTGAACTCAGGACCGTGGGAAGAGTAGCCAGTGCTCTTAACCTCTGAGCCATCTCTCCAGCCCATAAAAGATTTATTTAAAAAAATCATGTGACTATGGGGGATGAGTGCTGTTGCTCCTGGGGGTTAGAAAAGGTCATCGAATCCCCCTGGAACTGGATTTACAGGTGGTTGGAAGCCACCCAACATGAGTGCTGGGAGCTAAACGTGGGTCCTTAACCAGAGCCTAACTGCTGAGTCATCTCTCCAGCCCCCCTTACTCAGCTCTTTCCGAATCTGTTTCCTCTTTGTAAAATGAAATATTGACCTCACGAAATTAGAAAAAAAAAAATAAAAGCAATTATGAATGAAAAGCACTTTGATTTTGGGTCATTTAGTAAGTAATCACTTTACTTACACACACACGTGTGTGTGTGTGTGTGTGTGTGTGTGTGTGTGTGTGTGTGTGTGTGTGTGTGTGTACGCGCACGCGCGCACACACAGCTGAAAACTCAGGCCACTTCAGGATAAATATCACTTACAATGAATAAGAAAGAAAATTAGAGGACGAGTCATGTTAGAACCAATGCTTGCAGACCACTTGTTCATTTGTTTGTTTGTTTATTGATTTGTTTTGCCCTCTAGGAAAGTTTTTTCAAATTCAAAACAGAGAATTTGGCACCCAGAAGTACGAACAGTGGATTGTTGCAGTGCACAAAGCGTGCATGGTCTTCCAGATGCCAGACAAAGAGGAGGAGAGCAGGATCTGCAGAGCGCTCTTTCTGTACACATCACATCTGCGGGTAGATCGATCGCTGCTTTGAATGGCATGCTTTGGTCACTGCAGCTCCTGGGGTCTGCACTGTGGCAGCTGAGAGACCATTAGCTTCTCATCCTAGCCAAGAGCTTAATTAGGAACTTTCCAGAAAGTCATCACCAACCTCATTTATTCTCTGAAATTTAACAGCCAGGCTACAGGACGGGAACAGAGAGAGGTTCAGGGTCCATGTCAAGCCTCCAGCTCTGCCTTATGGATGTGGGTGGAGAAAGCTGGGTGATGACGAAATACTACTGCTCTAGATCTGTGATTGGTAGCCCCATCTCTGAGTTCAAGAAGTGGCTCCTGTCGCCACATCCTGACGCGTGTGTGGCCTTACTTTGTTAAAGCCACAGACTTAGAACCCTGGGGGCTCTGGTTAACACAGAAGAAAGGAATGGCGGGAACAGCTGCCACCTCTGTTGCCATGCTGTGGAACATATTTAAAGACTTGTTCCATAGCATGTGTTCATGGAATTTCAATGCTTACCGGACTCTCAGCATAGGTGGTAAGGGCCATCATTCTGAAAGACCCATGTACATTTTATTATGACTCTGGAATTTAAGAAGAATGTCAGCACTGTGATGCAAGGTGATGTCAAACTCGCTGACTTGCTTTTGTTGTTGTTTCTTATGATACACTGTTTCTCCTTCTCTCCCAAGGCGTAATTTTACAATACAAAGTGAATCTACTTAATTAATATCTAGTTAACTAAAACAAAAAAGGAAACTGGATTTTGGTTCAGAGGTTTTTATCATAGACCCACCAAGGGCCATTTACCTCTAAAACCTCAGCAGTACAATATGAGAAAGATTTTCCTGAAACCAGTTTTGTACTAAGTACAGCCGGTTGAACGTCAGTGTGGGGAACGTGGGGACTTGGAAAGGTACTGAGACTCACCTTTCATTTCAAACAGAAATACAACGATGCTCTCATCATCAGTGAGGACGCACAGATGAAGGATGCCCTTAATTACCTCAAAGCCTTCTTCCATGATGTCCGAGAAGCAGCATTTGATGAGACTGAGCAAGATCTTACTCGGAGGTTTGAAGGTGAGGGTGACTCCAGGGTGACTTCCGAGGTCGGGAGTCTCTGGAGTTGGGTGGCTCGATCAGCAGCGTGCACATCACACTTAGCATCTGTTTATTCGCTGATGCTGTTGTGCTGGGCTTGAGATGACACCTTATGGGGGCTGTGATGGAGCATGGCCTTAGCATGGCTGGAACCCCTAGCACTACAAACAAAAAGCAAAAGCCTTAAAGCCAACCAACCAACCAACCAACCAACCAACCAACCAACCAACCAACCATCCAAACAAACAAACAAACAAAAAATACAGGAGGGTTTGGCTTCAGAAAAATCTAATTCTTAATTCTAATTCTTACATCCATGGTTTTTCCACTTTTTATTTGGGAAAAGGGAAAACAGTGGGATTTGGAAAAGCTGCTTCCCACAGTTAATAAGTAGTAGCATTCTGTTCAACTTGGCAATTTAAAAAGGTTTAATAACACCAACATGTGTTCTAATGATGTTAAGAAGACTATGCTTTATATATGCTTCTTTTTTTGTTGGTTTGTTTTTTGAGACAGGGTTTCTCTGTGTAGCCCAGGCTGTCCAGGAACTCTCTCTGTAGACCAAGCTGGCTTCAAACTCACCGAGTTCTGCCTGTCTCTGCCTCCAAAATGCTGGGATTAAAGGCGTGTGCCACCACTGCCTGGTTTATGTATACTTCTAATAATGAAAAATATACCCCTACTGCCCTTACATTATACTCCAAACATCGGAAATAGTAAATGGAACATGTTTTCTTTCTCCTTTCAAATTACTTTTCCTAGAAGCAATCACTACTAATACTAAATTATTTACTATACATGTGTGTAGCCAGTGATGTGCTGTGTTGATAAACATACAGTTAGTTATCTGGGAGAAAATGTATAGACAAATTGCATATGTTTATTATAAATTTTACTGATATGGGGGATAACATAGTAAGCAACTCACAAATAATAAACATGGAACTCTTTAATATATATTACTTTTATCCATTTGTGGCCCACAGAATGCTTTTGGTGGTCTCTGCAGGATTATTGTATTCACAGCCAACTGGAGATTGCAATTACCAAAGTAAATGTAGTTTTGATATGGCTGTCAGGTCTATTTTCTGTTAATTCTAGGTGTGAGAACCAAATGAAACAACAGAGACATGTTGGCACCTCGCTGATTTCTCAGAAAAGTGAGCAACTTTTTATCTGAACTAGATAATAGTTTCAAACACAGGGAGGGCATTTCTGCATTTTTACAAGATTCATAAATAATAGCTAAATTTAATCTGCATTAAATACTTAGCATTTTACAAAGTCTATACTGCCAACAAAGGATGAAGCCAGTGTTATCTTTATTTCCATGTATAAGTACTTCTACGATGATCAATTTCCAACCACCAATATTTCATTGAACTTGTGTACAGTTGAACACACACTAACATTTCTACCATGCATATATTCTAGATGTGTACATACATGCATGCACAACAACTCAAGAGCATAACTCATAGTAAAGTGTGAGAAAATGAATTAGGAAGTTAATGAGCATGGCTATATGTTATATTTGTTTTTATATAAGTCATTGAGCTGCAAGGATAGAGAATTGAATTTTTAAGGTGATATTTAAAACCAGACACCACAATTCTCAAGAACTTCACAGTTGACCACCGTAATCTGGTTTGATCTGGCTCTAGCACACCACACTTTTTTTTTTTTTTTTTTAAGATAAGATATCCTGTGTTTCAGTTTTTAACTTAAAATATCTTTTTGAAAGCCCACCTTTAATGCCAGCACTCAGGAGGCAGAGGCAGGGATGAGCTCGAGGCCAGCCTAGTCTACAGAGCAAGTTCCAGGACAGCCAGTGATACACCGAGAAACCCTGTGTTTCGAAAAATTAAACAAACAAAACAAAACAAACAAACAGAAAACATGTATCTTTTAGATCTTTCCATATCAGCAGGTACATACCTCTTTAATTTTAACAGCAATGTTGTATTTCCACCAGCCGGGTAGCCTCAGATCTGTGGAGCAGCTTCTCAGTTACTTAGTGTTTGGGTTGTTTTCTGTATTTCTTTCATAGTCTCAACAATCTCAGTGACTGTCCTCGGGATCTTCTGCATAGTTTTCTAAATAGAACTTTTGAGTCAAATTCCTAGCTGTAGATTACTGCGCCAAAGAATGTGTGAGCTTTATATTGCTAAACTGCTTTCTAAAGGGGTACAACCATTTGAAATTAGTGTTGACTTCTCAGATTTCTGGCTAACAATGGAGAGGTTAACTGTTTGAAATAGAAGGCCACAGTTCTAAAGCCTTAACATTCATTAGCCTTTTGCAAACTGTTCTCTATTTGCAGAAAAGCTGGAGGACCTAGAAAAGGTTTCCACAGATCCCAGCAACGAGAACCCGAAACTCAGAGACCTCTACTTGATCTTACAAGAAGAGTACCACTTAAAGCCCGAGACCAAAACCATTCTTTTCGTGAAAACCAGAGCACTTGTAGATGTAAGCCGTGTGTGTGTGTGTGTGTGTGTGTGTGTGTGTGTGTGTGTGTGTGTATGTGTGTGTCCATGCACACACACAACAGATTGGCTCTACTTTACTGAAAAGGTTGTCCATTCTTCGCTGCCCTGTAATCAAGTATCCATGCATGTGTGGGCCTGTCCTGATTGTTTATCCTTACACTAATACCTCACTGTTTTATTTCCTCATGTTCTAAGTCTTAGCACTTCATCCTTTTTGAGAGTTTCCTGTTAAAATTGTCATTTCCAGCCATCCTGTAGGTTTTGATTTACATTGATTAGTAACTAATATGCTTGGACATCTCATATGCTTAGAAGGTTTGTCTTGAGATCATCTTTAAAAAGTTTATGTATTCAGATTTTAAAACCAATGCCAAAGTTGAGCTTTTGGGCTGGAGCTACAGCTCAGTGGTTGAGCACTCCCCTAGCATCCGTGAGTTTAATCCCCAGTTCTGGAAAAAAAGTAGGTTACCATCTTATTGTTAAGTTTTCAAGAGTCTTTAATAGGATGACCAAAAAGTCCTCTGTTGAGACAAGGGATTTGAAGTGTTTTCTGCTGGCCTACAGCCTGCTTTTTAGTTACCTTTTTTTTTTTATGGTGGTGGTGGGGCATGGTTTGAGACAGAGTTTCTCTGTGTAGCTCTGGCTGTGCTGGAACTTGCTCTGTAGACCAGGTTGGCCTTGAACTCAGATATTTGCCTGCCTCTGCCTCCAGAGTACTGGGATTAAAGGTGTGTGCCACCACCCAGCTTAGTTATCTTAACAGTGTCTCTGCACACTGAATGTTTCAAGTCTGTTTTTTTTTTTTCTGGCTTTGGCTGATGTTTAAGATCACAAAAATTTTCTCTGTTTCCGTCTAGAATTTTTGTATTTTTATATATAGTATGAGGTAGGGTTGAATGTCCCATTCCTCCTCCTCCTTTGGATTTATACATCTTATTGTCTGTTGACAAGACAATCCTTTACTGAATTACTTTTTTTTTTTTTTTTTTTTTTTTTTTTTTTTT